AAAAAAACAAAAACAAAACAACCAGAAAACAACAACAAAACCCTTTATAAACTGTCACCTGCCAGTTGTATTTGACACACTTACCACTGCTTCCCAAATTGATACCCTACTGAGATTATTTGAGGTATTCATTTAACCCATGGGTTTTTCACAGTGTTTTCTAAATAATGAAGGCTATCTGGACTTTCCATAACCACAAAACTATTATTCCATCTAAAAATATCAACAATAATTCCAAATGTTATCTGCTATTTCTACCCAGTCTCTAAAATTTCCTGGTTGACTAATAAATGTCTTCTTGCATTTAATTAATTTAAGTCAAAGTCCCATAATCCCATGGAGCTGTAACCCTTTAGTCCCTGCACTGAGAAGGTGGGGAGCAGGAACATGGGTTTGAGGACCACCCGGCTACAAAGTTTTGTCTAAACAAACAAACAAAATCCAGTCATTTGCCAATTACATTTATTTAATATGATGACTCATGTGATTTAATAATAATAATAATACAAGTTTCTCTTTTCTCCTTTTTATTTCTCCCTTGCTTCCAGGGTCATCTTGATGCAGATGTCACCAAAATGTGTGTTTACAAAACATCCTGATCCAGGGAGGGGTTACTCCCATGGGCATTGCCCTAGCCCATAGGCCTGTGCATCTCGTCCCTAGGGATTCTGTAAGGAGGCCAAATCATCTTAGCCCAAACTGGTTGCACAGTCCCAGGGCACTGAGTGGTTACCTACCCACTCCTGTGTTTGCCATGAGGTGGTGGGATCTGCTCGCTGAGGTCTTTATTTCATGAATGAGAAAATGGGCAGATAGCTGTTACTTCTCATCCTGGTGAGTGGGATTGGGTACCAGCCATCTGAAGACCGCATCTGTTTGCATGACCTTGGCGGGCTCTTGCCTAACCATGCAGGTTCTCACTTACTGCCAGGGGCCTCCTGAGGGCTCCAGATTCCTCTCAAGGGACCCTTCTGGGGAAGGCTGAGCAGGAGCCCTGGGAAAAGGTTGTGACCAGGAAGAAGTTGAAGGGAGAGGCCTTCAGGGACCTTGTGAGCATCTATGGAGCCCTATTGTCTGAGCTGGCCTTGCTGCTATCCAGAAGGAAGGCAGTGAACAGGGCTCCCCTCCTTTCCCTTGTCTCAAGTCTACACAAACCTTGATTACCAGGCATTGTCAAGCCTACACAAATACCATGTCCACATGTCCTGAGATTCGTGGCACGCATTCAACACAGCTGCTTGGCTAACACGCCAGCCCCACTAGTAAGCACTCCTACAAGTCACACGCGAGCGTGCACACACACGCGAACACATTGCATACACACACACCCTTTCCTGTGTTGAATCAACTCAGACTCTAGACTCCAGATCAGACGGTTCCCAACCTTCCTAATGTTGTGACCTTTTAATAAAGTTCCTCCTGTTGTGGTGACCACCAACCATAAAATTATTCTTGTTGCTACTTCATAACTGTAATCTTGCTGTTGTTATGAATCATAATGTAAATATCTGTGTTTTCCGATAATCTTGGGTGACCCCTGTGAAAGGGTTGTTTGAGCCCCTAAAGGGATCGTGATTCATATGTTGAGAACCGCTGCTTTAGACTCTTTAGAATGTAGGGTAGGAAGAGGAAGGAAGGCTGTGTTTGTCTTGGTGGCAGTCACTACAAAAGACTTCCAGTGGAAAGGCTGTTCCTTCATCATCCATCCATCCATCCATCCATCCATCCATCCATCCATCCGCCCATCCATCCAGATTTGGCAGATTTTCTTTTTTATAGTTTCAAGACAGGGTCTCATTGTGTCGTTCTGGGTTGTTCTGGAACTCACTCTGTAGACCAGGCCGGCCTTGAACTTACCTGCCTCTGCCTCCCCGAGTGCTGGAATTAAAGTCATGTGCCATTACACCCAGCTACTGACAGATTTTCTTAAACCTTGGAAAAGAGAAAAAGCTTTGGAGTACCCGGTGAGGAACTGGGGTATCTGGCTGGGTCTGCTGCGTTGGTGAGTGAAGTCAGTGTGTGCAGAAGGTATCGCAGGGCAAGGAGCAGGTTGGTTAGGTACCACTGAATCGGTGTCTCTCTCCGAGAGGCTCTCATCAGCTAGCAAGACTGTTATTAGCAAGATAATCAATCCAGTTTCCTTCCTCCATGGCTGAAAGAGGACTGACTGCCTTGGCTCTCCAGCTCCAACTTCCCTGCTGGGTCTCAGGCTGGCTAAAACTCTTTACCCCTCTCCTAGAATTCATATCAAAGCCTTAGCCCCTCCCCTCAGCCCCAGGGTTCATTAGGAGGCATTTATTTCTTTCTGCATATTCTGGGAGGGCCACTTGATTCGCAATGCAAATTGCTTGGCTGTAATTTCAACTCTTCCCTCCCTGCTCAGGGGGAGATTTCGCAGGGTCATTAAAAATATATGATCGCCTCCAAAATAGCCACGGCAACAGCTGCTCCGCTGTGCTGGGCCAGGTGCTGGTGTCGAAGGTCACCGAATGATGTGGGGTGGATATAGGGGCAAACGGTGCCAAGCCCTCACTGCCTCCTGCGCCAGCATCTGGGCTCCAGATCATGGGGTTGGTGGCCTGGCTCAGGCCAGTCTGGGACTCACCGTCATCTGCCTTATGCTGTTATGGGAGAGAAAAGTGGGTGTTTCTGTCTCTGAGTCTATGGCTTTCTCCTCCACAAGGATGGGGGATGAACCAGGGGCTGGACAATAACACAGCACCTTTATTCCACTGTCCCCTCCCCAATCTTGGATACTGGAAGACACCCAGGCGAGGAAGAACTGCTTAGGTCTTTTAGTTGTGGTAAGTACCTCACTTGGTCTTTTCCTTCCCACGTCACTATGGGGAAGAAACTCCATAACAATTCAAGCTTTACCCTAAACTTGACCGATTCTGTAGATACCTGCATATTAGTAAGGGGAACAGGGCTTCTCTTAGTCACTGTTCTATTGCAGTGACCATGACCCAGGCAATTTATAAAAGAAAGCATTTAATATGGGGGGGTCACAATTCCAAAATGTTAGTTCATAACCATCTTGTCAGGAAACATGCAGCAAGCATTTGGGTGTGGTTTTGGAGCTTACATTTCATTCACATGAGAAAGAGAAAGAGAGAAACAGAGAGAGGCAGGGTGGGGTGTGTATGTGTGTGTGTGAGTGTGTATATATGTTGTGGTGTGTGTATGTATGTATGTGTGTTGTGTATGTGTGTGCACAGATATGTGTTGTGTGTGTTGTATGTGTATGTGAGTGTATATATATGTTGGGTGTGTGTACGTATATGTATATGTGTTCTCAGATATGTGGTGTGTGTGTTGTATGTGTATGCGAGTTTGTATATATGTTGTGATGTGTGTGTTGTGTATATGTGTTCTCAGATATGTGGTGTGTGTGTTGTATGTGTATGCGAGTGTGTATATATGTTGTGATGTGTGTGTTGTGTATATGTGTTCTCAGATATGTGGGGTGTGTGTGTGTGTGTGTATGGAGTCGGGGGTGTAGGGATTGATGTTGGGTGTCTTCCTTTATTGCCCTCCACATTATTTTTTGAGGTTGGAATCTCTCACTGAAACCGAAGCTCATCGATTCTGCTAGCCTGGCTGGAGTATGAGCTCCTAGGTTCACCTCCCTTCCCCCAGCCCAGCCAGGGTGACAGGGACAAAAGGACAACCTGGCTTTTCATGTGGACGCCGGGGAGCCAAACTCGTCTTACCTCTTGTGCACTATGCACGGCACTGGAGTGAACCAGCATCTCCGCAACTCCTCAGCCCCTTGAGTGTCACGTCTTACTCGTGTACAATAACATTTAAAAAGAAATAAGAAGAGTGGGTTCCATGGGGTTATCAGTTCTATGCTTTTGTTATTGTTACTGCATAGGTTAACTCCTTAAGAAGACAGACAAGGAAAAGCCAGGCGCATTTTACATGATAAATAGATTCAAAGAGATCTGAAGAATTGAAAAAACAGCGACAGACTAGACATGGTGGTGCCTGCCTATGGTACCAGTTACTCAGAAGTCTGGGGTCAGCCTGGACAACACAGCAAGATTCTGATACAGTTGCTATGGTAAAATACAATAACAATTTTTTGCCATTTTAACTACTTTCAGGTGATTGTTCTAAAGTACATTGACAATATATCTATTAATGGCTATCTTGTATAGGCAATATTCATCTCTTTCCTATAGAAAAGTCATTTTTCTCCTTCCTCTAGAATAAGCCCAGTTCTTACTGTTTCTGGAAAACGAGGTTTGATTGATCTATAATCCAAGTCCGGATCTCACTCTCTCTTTGCTCAGATGGAAAACACACCCTAAAGTCATTCCCTTCAGAGTAGGAAGGGCCAACACTATGTTTCTCTTTGGTCCCAACCGATCCTACTCAAGATTGTACCAATGTGCAGTCTGTGGACTTCAAAGGGTGAGTCACATGGGTGCTGGAGATGGGGTGATACGGCAAATGGAACTGGCCCCCCATATCAGTGAGCATTCAATAAGCCTCTGTAATCGTAACTAGTTACCCTGGTGGAGCAAGTCCTGCATGTGTAGATGAAAATTATCTGACCTTAGCAGGATAGAAACTGAGCTTCTGACCAGGTTACTCTTTGCTCCTCAGAACCCATCAATACGACACAGAAACACAGCCTCTGAACGGCTTCCCGTTCTGTCTTTGTCATGAGGCAGCTGTGTGACTTTGGGGACATCAATGAGGGGGCTTGAGCAGGTATCAGATGGGCTGCCATGGCTGCTCTCCCATCGTTTCTGCAGACATTGCTAATCAATCCGACTTCTTTTCCTAAGCCTGTCTAGAGCTGTATAAATCATAAGTACCTACATCTGAGCTGATGGTCTTTGGAGCCTCTATCAGTTCCCACGCCTGGTTTATAAGGCCTTTACTATTTCTTCCAGGGCTAACACAACAATTTTAAGAATCATAGCTATTTATTTTGTTGTGGAAACCACCATCAACAGACGTCATAAGACTCTGCTTTCCCATTCCAGGGATCCCAATGAAGTTCTCTCCTTACAAGACATACAAGACAAGAAAGTAAGTATTATATTCCAATACTCCAGAGGATAAATCTGCCTGAAAAAAAAGGTTTGGCCTAGCTACTCCACGTTCCAATCAAGACTAAAAGTTGTGACCACTGTGTAGATGGAGGTCACACATTTGTTTTCCGGCCTCCCAGACCCCAAATAATCACTCAGAAAGTTATATTAATTTCAATATGGCTTGGCCAATAGCTTATGCATATTTCTAGCTCACTCTTACGTCTTAAATTAACCCATTTCTATTAATCTGTGTATAGCTGTGTGTATGTGGCTTACCAGGCAAAGTTCCAGTGTCTGTCTCCTCCCATGGCTACATGACCTCTCTCTCTCTATATATATATCTCTTTCAGCCTGGCTATATTCTGTTACGCCATTGGCTGAAAGCAGCTTCTTTATTAACCAATGATATTCACAGCATACAGAAGGGAATCCCACATCACCACTGTTGTGACCACTTCCTGGTTCTTTTCTGGGGGAAAGAGGCAAATCTTGATATGTTAAAGGGAAATAATATGGTGTGATTTTGGGATGAAAATTAATAGGATCCTTGCACACTCCCATGGGAGTATAACATGGTGCCATGGGACCATGTCAGTTCCTCAGAATGTTAAATGTAGGCATTCCATATGACCAGAAAGTCCATTCCTAGGTATTTTATACCAAAGAGAAATGAAGGCTCACATCCACCAAAATAATTGTACAGTGTTCATAGGAGTCTTATCCACAGAAAGAGCCTGGAAACTCAACAGCTGATCAATAGATCAAGATTGTAGCCAGGAGCGATGCTATGCCTATAATCCTAGCACGCAGAGGCTAAGGCAAGAGAATGGAGCACTCTAGACCAGTGCAGGCTACATAGCAGGACCCTGACTCACAAATCAATAAAAAGAAAAGCCGCACGATAGAATAATAGTCATCCACAGAAAAGGATAAAGTTTTGTACACTCGACAACACGGGTCACCCTTGAAAATACACTCAGTGAAGGAATTCAGATTCAAAAGACCACACATTATAATACTTCACAGCTGTAAGACGTCCAGAGTAGGCAAATTTACGAAGACAGAAAAAGGATTAGTGGTTAGGGAAGACTGAAACGGGTAGAGAGGTAGTTGATAAAAAATATTCTGAAATTGACCAGCTGTGTGCGTGCATGTGTGTGTGTGTGCTTGTGCGTGTGTGTGCCTGTGCGTGTGTGTACACGTGTGTGTTTGCATGCATGTGTGTGCATGTGTGTGTAGTACTGAGAATGAACCCAGAGTTATGTATAGACTCAATAAGTACTCTACCACCCAGCTAACTATATCCCACTCCTGAGATTATTTAAAACAAATATTCTCAATCTGAAATTATTTGAAACCACTGATACTGAACCTGCAGGCATGAGTGCCCGTACATCTAAATAGGAATGCGTAACCTTTGCTTGATTTTAGACTGATGCATTTTAAAAAGCTTCTGCTTATTAACGTTGAGATAAAATCAAGTGAAGCAGCAACATTAAAACTCCTTTGCAAGCAGCTTTAGGGAGTCCTTTCCCCTTTTTCTTCTTTTGAGGCCAGGTCTGGTGTGCATCTCAGTGTAGCCCAGGCAGCTCTGAACTCTCAGTCCTCTGAGCTCAGGCTCTTGCTTCTTGTTGGGTCTCAGTCTGTGTCACCGCTCCTCTCACTGTTAAAGGACCAACCAAGAAACTGAGCCCAGATCCCAGGAAGCCAGATCATTTTCTCTCAGGTAAGGATGAAGAAAATGAATATTCAGTGAGTTAAAGGAAGAGCCCCAAACTGCACAGCCAATCGGCGACAGGCCTTCCCTGAAAGACTCTTTGCTCATGCATGTCATCAACCGAGAAGCTGACGAGAAACACCTGGAGGATTTCTGCGAGAAACCAGAGGGCGGCTACGCGTAGGGCACAGCTACTTATGCGTCATTCTGTTAGGAGAGAACAGAAACCATGCCTCGTCCCCTTTTGAAGACATTAGAACATGCTGGAATAAGTGTTCTAGCAGAACCCTGTTGCCTGTTCCTGGGCCTGAAACCTTACACACACGGCAGTCCTGGGGGCTGCCCGCCAACCAGCCTTCTGTGTATACACAGAGTAAGTGATGGTCCCATAAAACATAGATTTCTTTAATCTACCGAGGGAGGACCACGGACTAGACAGCACCAGGGCACAGCTGTCTTTACTCCAGGTCACCCAGTGTTCTTCATAATAAATGCTTTTGCTTTTGCACTTTGGATAGGAAGCATGTTACCCCCAGAACCAGACGCTGTTAATGGGTCCGCATGGCTGCGAACGCACCAGCCGGTCCAAGATTTTATAGGATCCATCACAGGACACCAGGACCCTTATTAAAAAAGAGAACATTTACAGCATTTCCCAGGGCACGATATTTTTTTTTTTTTTGAGTCAGCCCCACAGGGAGACAGCTAGGGTAAAAGATACTGTGGGCTGTTAGTTGGGGTTTGAGGGCATGGCTGCGAGGGAAAAAGTCATCAAATGGTATTTATTATGTGCTGTCCTGGGTTGACATAGTGCTTGGAGCTATCCAAGGAAAAGCTAAAACACTTGACACTTTCCCCTTAGGAGCTTCTATTTGGAGAGGGAATACTGAGGCATAAGTAAAAATTACGACTCACTTCTTCATATGTAATATGGAGTAAAATGTAATTAACTTTGATTTACAGTGTGCAGTGCAAGCCCTGATCTTCTAAAACAACCCCCTCCCACCCTGCCCCACCCTCCGTCCCCACTCCTGGCCCCTAGAAGTTCTTTTTCATTTCAACCCTTGTGTAATATCTTATCAGCTAGTCTCGGGCCCCTTTTCCTATTTAGGAAGTTGAGTTTACCAAATATAATCTTATCTTTCTCCCAGGACTGAAAATCTTGCAGCGTCCAACTGATGTTTGAAGCTGGCCCTGTGTGCTCGCTCTGTGGTGAACTGCAGAGTCAATGGGCCGGCTTTGATGTTGAAACCTGCCCTGCCTCTTCGCTAGCTGGGTGGCCTCAGAGAAACTGCTCCACCAGCCAGAGCTCTGAGTCCTAGTGAACTCATCTGTGAAATGGAGCTAGCAGCGACCACTTGTCTGGGACCGGGACTGGGGAGTGTAAACTCCCTAGCTAGCATGTGCTCTGCAGGAAGCCCCAGACCAACGATTCCTGTTCTCTTCATATCTAGACAGAAGGAGAGCACAGTATAACATGTCGGGACATAGCCTAGAAATACCAATGGCTTGCAACAAATGCTTTAGTTCCCATGCGTCTCCCCGGCTCACGGCTGACCTATCCATCCCCCTGCAGCTGAGAATACCAAATGCTGATAGCTCACAGCTGTGCTTACCCTGAGTGTTGCTCTCTGCCACCAGACACCCAGACACGGTCTCGTAAGAGGTTACACCTGCCCCAAACTGGACAAGGAGAGACAATCCCCTTTTTCTCGCTTTGGGGCAACTAGGAAGAACTACACCAGCCTGTAAGCCAGCTCCAGCCTCAGATGACCGCTCTGCAGGCTGATGTCCCCCTCTGTTGGCTTCAATATTCCTTCCAGGAGGCCTGTGGCCTCAGCCTGCTGGGTCAGCGTCTGGTTGAGAATCCAATCTAAGCCGTTCCTTAAGGGAAATTGCCGATTTCAATTGTTCTTGACATTTGATCATTTCTCCAATAAGCGATACACATAAAAACTGTTGGTGAGGGCTTGGAAAGATGACTCAGTGGTGAAGAACGTGTAAGCTTCTCTAGAGGACCCAAGTTCGGTTCCCAATGTCCATGTCAAGCAGCTCATCACCTGTAACTCCAACTCCATGTGACCCAATACCCAATTTCTGGTTTCTGGGGCACCCCCGCCACACATGTATCTTATATTCATTCTGATTATAAAGTAAAATTAGAATGTTTTAAGAATGGTGGTAAATCTCATTTCTGGTTGTTTAGATTTAATAAACCGTTTCTTATTTCTGCTTGCTGCTATAGCAATTTATCACACATTTTAATGGATTAAAACAATATAAATTTGCCATGTTATCATTCTGAAGTAAGTCTAAGTAGGCTTCACTGAGCTAAAATCAAGGACTTTTCCTTGTGTTCTGAGAGTAAGTCACATCTATGACTCTTGGCAACCCTTCTCCAGCCTCATGGCCAGCAAGAGCAGGGATCAGTTTCCCTGAGAATATTCTGCCTGCCTCAATTGCTACCCATGGACACTTCAAAGGACCATGACAAGAGGCCCAGGTGGGTGGCCTGGGACCCTCTCCCTCCTTTTCATCTCAACTGATGGACAATCATAGTTCTATCGCTAACCTTAATTAAAATGGGATTATTTGTTTTTATTTTTGTACATTAGTGTTTTGCTTGCATGTATGCATGTGTGAGGGTGTTGGAACTGGAGTTACAGACAGTTGTGAGCTGCCATGTGGGTGCTGGGAATTGAACCTGGGTCTTCTGGAAGAACAGCCAGTGTTCTTAACCGCTGAGCCATCTCTCTAGCCTTCCCCACCCCTGTCATCTCAACGAATTTCTCCTGGTCCCATAATGTAACACGGATGTCTAGGATTAGGATGTGGGCATCTTTGGGTGCCCTTAGCTTCCACACTAAAAAATTAAAAAAATAAAAAATCTAAAAATTAGCCAGTAAGACAAACCAAGTAGATAAAATCAAGTGACAACGGCCAAGAAAGCAGAAGTGACAAGATGTCGTGTAAATACCAAAAGCAGGGCCATACTGGGGTAAATGATCATGGGGGCCCTGAGATAGGGCCCAAACCCAGTGAAAACGTCCATAGGCTAGCTTAGCCAACACTCTGCCTAACTCACTGCATGTTAAGAGCTGAGATTTTGAGATAGTGGTTATGTGTGTCTGACATTAAACTGATGAATGTGGCCTGGAGGTGTAGCTCTGTTGGTAGCTTAGCATGCAGGGAATCCTGGGTTTGATACCTAGACCTTCATACATCTTAAACACACACGCTCGAAATCCCAGCACTCAGGAGACAAAGGCACAAGGACCAGAGTTCAAAGCAGTGTGGGCTACAGAGACAGTTCTAGGCTAGCCTGGGCTACATGAAACCCTTGTCTCAAAAATAGATAGAAAGGTAGGTAGATGGATGTCTGGCCACATTAAAAATACATGGAAAAGCTGACAGCTTTTACCAGAAGTTATCCAGCATTGTCTGGGCTAGGATGTCACACTAAGTTTCTAGCAAGTGAGAGACATTTTATCAAGCTGAGTGGGTGCATGAAGGAGAGATGGGTGGCTTCCTACAAGAAAGGCCACAGCTAATGCTTAATCCCTTGGAGCCCCAGAGAATCTTCATTTCCAGCTTGAGTTCAGCATCGGGGAACAGAGATGGGACAGTGCGTATGTTTGCAAAGCATCTTGGTCCAGGTGGATCCCTTTCCGCAGGGGATCTTCTTGCTCATGATTATTTTCTTAATAATTAATTTGTGCAGTATTGGGGACTGAACCTAGAGTGTTGCGCGTGCTGGGCAAACGTTCTACCACCAAGTTACATCCCTGGCCCTTTCACTTGTGTTTATAGTACCGGATAAAAGTTCAAAAGTGCAGGCCAGACACAATTCCAAAGGACACGGGGACCTCATCAATCCCCCTGCTTCAGCAGAACGGAGTGCCGGAGGCACCAGGGAAGTTCCTTGTGAATCTCTGTAAGGACACGGAAGGTATGTTTTAAATAAACATACCAGATGCAGTCCACCCCACAGGACCCTCCCTTCAAAGCCGTCTCCTCGGAAGACGAATCGCTTAGCCCAGAGATGTTGTTAAAAAAGCCCCTGGTTGCTCTCCTTTTAGACACTGCAGTGAATTCTTTGGCGTATCCTGAAGAGAGCCTGTATCTGCCCTTTGAAGACGGATTTGATTTTTAACAGCAGCCAAAATTCATTCAGATCAAAGCCTGGGAACTTAGGTGTACAATCAAGTTGAGGAATTACCATTTTGGAGTAAGTGATGAAGATGGTAAAATTTGAATAGGAGAACTTTCTTCGTAGGAGGTTTGTGGGGACCAAAGAGCAGGGACAACAGAGGCTTTGCTAGGACAAACTGGTAGGTTTTGAAGCAATTTTTTTTACAAGACGATACATGCGTGAAAGTAGCGGGTTTTTAGAATTTATTTCTTTTGAAAAGCTGTCCTCTCAGAGGCGCCCTATCTCAGAGCGTTTGGAAGCAGGAACTTTGGAGTCAGCCTGGAATCTTCGTCTCCACGCAAGCTGCCTAGCATAGTTGAGCATCCCTATCGCTGTCTGAAAAGGAAGATTGTCGCATTCACCGCATCACAGGACAGCTGCATATGGTACATAACGTCATCCGTGTAAAGCAGACAGCCACACGGGTGAAGTACCCGGTCTATATTACATGATCTGTAGAAAGTGCACAGTCGATAGTGGTTATTGTTTTTACCCCTGGTCACACTGTGTATGCACACCTGACCATGATATAGACTGTATTTGTGGTCTGGGTCATAGTCCTAATAACAATTGCTGACCAGATCCCCTTGATGGCTCGGCTCCTCTCAAGTCTCGCGGGAAGCCCTTAGAAGTAGGTGCTAATTATCAGGCCCATATTTACAGGTGAAGAAGTTTAGAACTAACCTATCCAAAGGCTTCCAGCCAAGAAGCTATTGGTGCCTTAGTCCTTTCTACACATAGGCTCTTGCTGTCTAGATGGAAGGCTTCCAGTGTAGACAGCAAGATAGACTTGCTGTGACCGTGACTCCTACTTATGTCTGATGTGGCCCAGAGAAGGTGACGAGCCGCATGTAGCACCGAGCTGATTCTTGGGCTCAGCCGAAACCAAATGAGATTGAAAACCTGGGACATAACTTGAGCACGATGCATGCTTTTGGTCATCCACCACCTCCTCCTGAGGCACACACACCCTGCTGGTGCTGGGAGATAGTGTTCCAGGCTGTTCTGAAAGCCTTTGGTGATAACCTAAGTATGAAACACAGCCTCCATGATAGCAACGAGTTCTTCTAAAAGCAGGCAAAGTGTTCCTATCAGATCGTGGCTAGATTCCAGTGGAAGTAGAGGAGGTGACAGACAAGAACACTTTACGCTGCTCCTCAGCCTACAAGTTGACACTATGATCATGTACTTTTCCTGACACACGTTCCTGGAGAGCGCCTTGTTATCTCAGGCTGGGGTTGCCTGCTGACCTCCACGCTAACCTGGGGCAATCTCCCCTATAGGACTTTCTCACGTTGCCATGTTAAGTCTGAATGGCCGGAGGAAGCCTAACAGGGTTTGGAGTTTGGTGTCTGGCTGGTCTGGATTCCTTTTCTTTTTTTCTTTTCTTTTCTTTTATCTTTCTTTCTTTCTTTTTTTTTTTTTTTTAAGACAGGGTTTCTCTGTAGCTTTGGAGCCTGTCCTGGAACTAGCTCTTGTAGCCCAGGCTGGTCTCGAACTCAACAGAGATCCACCTGTGTTGGGATGAGCAGCAGGCTGCGTTCCCAGCGCCCAGCTGCCCGCATGGTTAGCTTTACCTGAAATAATTACACGGAAACTGTATTCTTTTTAACACTGCTTGGCCCATTAGTTCCAGCCTCTTATTGGCTAGCTCTTACATATTGATCTAACCCATTTCTAATATTCTGTGTAGCATCACGAGCTGGCTTACCAGGAAAGATCTTAACCTGCGTCTGTCTGGAGTGGGAGAATCATGGCGACTCTGACTCGGCTTCTTTCTCACAGCATTCTGTTCTGTTTACTCCGCCTATGTAAATTCTACCCTATCAGAGGGCCAAGCAGTTTCTTTATTAATTAACCAATGAAAGCAAAAGATAAGATACAAGACCCACCTCCATCACACCTGCCCCTGCCTCCCGAGTGCTGGGATTAAAGGCATGTGCCACCACCACCCGGCTAGGATTCGTTTTCTTGTGTGCATTCGTTTTTCTTTCATCTGTTCCCAAGGTAAATTGGTGCTGGGCTGTTCTGGAGGTAGCCTTCAGAACACCCGGGAATGACTCGATCTTCAGGATGTATCTACTGAGGACTTTGGTTTCTGAAGAGATTTATCTACGTGGGCACATTGATTTGTCCTTCACGATTGTTGGAATTACACATGTTGATGGCTACCTCTGTGCCTTCTGTCTACCTCGAGAAGGGGCAGAGCTTCAGAAATGACAATGCATCTTAGATAAAAGGTGCACAAGGAATTGCCCAGTCTGGAATTGACAGTATTCCCTGGTGCCTCCAGGATCTTTTCCCCCAAATTTGTCTTTGTCTCCCAAGTTCTCATGTGAAAATCCAGGGGCTCCCCGGTTGTGTCACGGCCCCCCTTACATTATTTTCAGTGCCATGTTTTACAGACCCAGAGTTGGGGCTTTGCAGCACCAGCCTCTAACTAAGAAATATGGTAGCCATAGCTACCTATGCAGTTCAAGGCTAGCCTGTGCTATGCGAGACTTTTGCTCAAAACAAACAAAGGAAGCAGAGCTGGGGATGTTGCTCAACTGTAGAATGCTTGCTTAGCTTGCACAAAATCCTGGGTTCAATTCCCAGCATGCATCAAGTGGCTAGAAAACACCACTTCCAGTTCAAGACCAGACTAGGATATGTGAAACACTATCTCAGAGAACAAACCAAAAATCAGAGCCGAAAAGAAAAAATAATAAAAATAGGGGCTAGAGAGTTGATCCAGTGGTTTCGAGTGAGGACCCAGGCTAGATTCCCAGCACCCACAGGATGGCTCACAACCATTCCCTAGTCCAATTCCAGGCGATCTGATGCCCTCTTCTGACGTTCCTGGACACATATGTGGTACACATAGACGTACATTCAGACAAAACACTCATACACATAAGATAAATTAACCAGCCATTTTA